ATGTTGAACTTCTTTCGCACTGAACGTAGCCAACCGTGCTAATCGGAATAATCGGAAGTACGGGAGGCTTGGGCAAGGGCGCGTCGTGGCTTAGCAGGAACGAGGGGCGATGGTCGACAATCAGGAGCGAGTAGCAGCAGCCAAGCGATGGGTGGACGCCCTCTCGGAACGCGTCCAAGAGGGCATCCACCACCACAGCGACGGCGGCAATGAAATCCGTTGGACCCTCTGATCATGACGTCGCAGGATTAGAGAATTGGCGGCTGCTTGGGGAGGCCTTCATCCAACAGTGGATGAACAATGGCTGATGATGAATGCGGCTTAGATTGCGGTGGCTCTTCTACGCCGTGTAGCCCCCAGGCGACGGAACCCTCTTCCTGGAGATATCAGGATCTGTGAGTCTGTGCACATCAAACCGATTTATACGCTTCCGCTTATTAAACGTTCAGTTATTTTAGTAAATTATTTAAAACTGTATTTATAACGTAATGTGCATGCTCAGTGTCTGCTGCTGCTGTGTCCTGTACAGCTCTTTGAGATCCTTGATGAAAAGCACGGTATACATGTAATTATTAATAATTGTAATACCCGCATTATAAGTATCCCCCCCCCCCTCCCCATACAAACTTGTTGATATCGTCCGCTCCTGCTCGGCTCCTTGGCAAAGTTAGGCTCCGACTCTCAATTGTCCCCAGCCTGCCCACACGCGATTTTGTTCGAGTCGGGCTACAGGCGGAGCGGTGTGGAGCAGACAGTTCAGGTTCGTGGGTGGGCATTCATCCACCTCCAGAGACCCTGACCCCAAACCCGCCTCCACGTCGCGCCCTGCCGCTCGGCGATTCACGCGACGATCTTGTGGATGTAACGATGACCGCATTAATTGGGTTGCCACTGAAATCAGATTCTTACGCTCGCGACACACGGGGCATCGAATGGGGCGATTGTCGTAGTGAAACAGACACCCTGGTCTCTTGCAACACGCACGATGATGCAGCCCATATACCAATCGATTCATAATTGATGTGCGGCTTAGGCCACCGCGTAATGATCTGACCAAATGTGTGTCGTGAAACTCTCCACCAACTCGACACAGCCAAACAAATTCGTCACCCGGTGTGCAAGCGTTTTCACAACGCGACAATTATTAATATTGTTATTTGGTTAAAGGCCAATTCTCACAACCACATTTATGCATTGGACGCGCCACGTTGGTCTTGTAAACACGCCGATCACCCAGGGCCTCAGAATGCGCATCCGAGAAGTGAGAACCTGGCCACTGGGGTAGCTACGGAGTGTACAGGCGGTGTAACTGCGTCGCGGCCCAGAGTTCGGAGGCGCGCAGGCTCCGGGCACGACTGAAGGAGGGAGGGAGGGGTGGGTGGTGATTGTACAGAAGCCATGCCAACCGCACTGCATCGCTGCACGTGGGATAAATTCACGAGCAGGCGTGGTCCTGTCTGGGTCAACCCCGTCCCTTCTCCTCCCCGGCCGGGCGCTGGTCGCCGTGGCTACGCACGTGGCTGCCTGTAACCCAGCACTGTGAAGGCAGCGGGGGGGGGGGGGGGGGGGGGGTTGGTGGATCACCGCACAGATGTTATGGAACTCCCTTCCCGTGGGCGTCGAGGAGGCGCCGTGCCCTGGCTCGCCAGGGGGAGGCGGTACAGCACAAGTTTTGTACTCCATCCGTCCCGCCTGTATGGAATCGAGTGTTTCACTCTCGCGAGCGAGGCGTTTCTCAAATCGCAACGGTTTTCTCCCACGTGTGAACACGACCTTAATTGGGCGATAACACCCTTTAGAGACAGAGGATCGCAGAGCTTGGATAATTGTTGGTAGCGCCGGCTGGCCGCGTGGCTGCCGCGGCCTTCCCGCTCACCCCTGGTTCCTCCTCGCGCCTCTGAGTCGTCCACTCGGTTTTGAGAGCGAGCGAATAGTGTGGGGCGCTAGCGCGTTACGCACCGTTCATAATGATAATTTTAGCTCAGCGGGCTTTACTCGATAAACTAACAATTGATTATTTTTTTTGTGATTTGCGTCAGCTTTTCTATACTTTGCAACTCCTGTCGTGTTTTTTTGTATTTTTGTTTGTTGTTGTAACGTTCTGACCCGGGACATCTGTGAAAAAGAGCTTTATAGCTCATCGGATACATCCTACAGTTTTAATACTGATTCGGATATTATCAATACCTCCACCCCCCCCCGCCCCCTTATTTGTTCGACACCTCCCCCCCCCCAACATCCCCTTCAACCCCGTGGTCCTTTCACCCCGTTCGCAGCTCCCGTCGCTCCGTCGACCCGTTGCTGCTGCCGCCGCTACCGCCTTGTCAGCCGGCGATGGTTGGGCGAGGCCGTTCCGCTGAGCAACCGCCTGGGGCTCTCAGCTGTGCGCGGCCGAGGCGTGGCCGTTTGGCCCCCACAGCGGCGGCTGCTGGCGCGTGTTGGGGGGGGGGGGGCAGGGAGGGAGGGGAGGGAGAGAGGGGAGGGAGGGGGAACATTGCGCCGCGTGTCTGGTGAACGATGCCGGGTGAAGGGACCATTCCGCGTTGCATCTCCTTCTCGTTGCTGCTGGAAATGTGAGATTGTGTGGCGGCCTGCGCGTCTGTTCGCTTCGAGATGCCGCGCGCGTTGTGTGCAGGCGAGCGACTGCGTTGGGGAGTGGTCGGTCGTGCAGCGGGCAGCACCGCTGCGTCACGAACCCGGCGACCCGAGTTCGATTCCCGCTCACGGTCGACACCCAGTGGCAATTGTCTGAACCGGTCCTGGGGCTTCCCCTCGGTCGAGTCAGCCTCCAACGGGTACCTGATGAGGTGTGTAAAACATCGCCACTCGGAAGACAAAGGCGGCCGGGCGCGGTGCTGGCCACCCACCCACCCCGTGAGGCCCACCCCAGCCTTCACATGTGATCGCTAACAGCACTTGCCCAACAGTCTGTGAAGGCTATACACATGGCGATCTTTGTATTTTGCGCGTCTGTGTGCCAGGATCGTTCCCTGGCTGAGTGCGAGTGTCACTTTCGCGGCTCCTAATCTCTGCGGTGTAGTCACCTCGCGTGATATCTGCTCGTCGAGATCGTCGTGTGATCTGACGAGCCCTCGGAGCGCGGCTATTGCGTCAACGTTGGGTTGTATTATTGAATCGTTTCCATGTTTCACGGTTAGATCGGCGTAGCCGTGCCACTCGCAGCCGCACCACTCCTATTAGGTATACTGGATGTGGCGTGCCGGGCGTGGAACATATTGTCCGGGTCGCCGACCCAGACTTGATCGGTTGAAATCAGCTGCGTTCTTTGTTTATTTTATCGGTGCTGCCTCCATTGTGCATGTCACCATGAAGCTGGAACGTTCACTATTACATCATCATCATCTTCACCTTGAGTGCAAAATTTATCCACTGCTGGATGAAGGCTTCCCTACCCACCCCCCTCGACATCCTTCACGCGTCCGCAATGCCACAATCCGTCTCACTCGTGCGTCATCGATCCCTCTCTCCGTGGCCTGCTACAGGGAGTCGGCGAGTGTGCGTGAGACAACGTGGGAGTCACGCAGAGTCACGCGTCACGGAGTGATTCTCTCGCGCGGCCGCTCGGGGCCACTGGGGTCACGCGGAACCCATCGCGGTGAAGAGTGAGATCGATGACCCACCGACATGGATGTTGATTTAAGGGGCGAGTGTCGTGCGAGGGGAGGACGATGGCCCGTGAAGGGGGGGAGGGGGGGTGGGAGAGGGGGGGTGAGGAGTTGAGAAACGTGCTTCGACAAAGCGTCCGAACTAATCTCTTGCACTCTCCTTGCCCTCCACCACACAATGGGTACTCCTCCTGCCCCCCCCCCCCCCTCCATCAGCCATGCCGTCCTCCACTCCACCCTGTGCTCCACCCTGCACTCCACCCTGCACTCCACACTAACCCTACAGGCCTACACCCTGTGCTCCACCCTGCCCTCCACCCTAACCCTCCACCACACTGCCACGCGCGCTGTCATTCCGCCGCGCGTCCACCAGGAGGCACCATCCACCCTTTCTGAAAGCCAGGGACCGCACTGAGCGGAGACCGCGTGGTCGAGAATCCGCGCCCGAGGTGGAGAGAAACGGAAAGGGATGGTGAGGGGTTGAGAAGGGGGGGTGCTGTGTGTGGTGTCTGTGCTGGATCGCAGATTTGCTTGATCGTGTGCATGTCCAGCCCTCTGTCAATCCACTGCTTGATGACTGTCCATCTCCTCCCCACCTCGTATGGCTGCGGCCTCTAACGCTGTTATTGCAAGCACGGTGGTCGCCCATCCGAGCACTCAGCAGGCTCAACCACTACTCAGCGGGCGACATCTGACGATGTCTTCCGAGTGAATCGGTCCTGAGCTTTAGAATCCATCGATCTTTTTATTCGAGTGAATGTACGGTGAAGAAACTCTGTCACACGGCTAACATCAGTGGCGAGTTGATTCCTGATATCCGTTCCTGCAACCCCCCCCCCCCGCACTCAGCAAGCACGGTGAAATATGTTCAACCAACCCCCCACCACGCTCAATGCGACATGGGGTAGATATCCATCCAGCAGTGAATTGACACAGGGGCCGAACGTGATTGTAATTGTTGTCGTCATCGTAATTTTACTCACGCTGCTCCCCGTGGCTCTTGCCGGAGGGCTGCATTGAAGCGACGCTGACTTCTCTGATCCCCGTTCTGAAGTGAGTGGGAAGCGACTGAACAAGGCCGACCTCAATTCATAACTCAATTTCAATCTCTTCCTTTACTGGCCTCTCTCTCTTCGTGCTCTATGAAACTAAACTAATAAAGCAAAGATTTTTACTTAATTTTGTTTCATCAGGGTAAGGCCCACTGGGCCGTATAGTTATTTTTCAGAAGCGATCTGGCTGTCACAAATGATCGCTCAACGAAGTGGCTCATCGTGTGGAGATTTATTGCAGCCAAATTACTCTCATCGCACGTTTCTTAATGTGGAGGGGCGAACCGGAGGACCCGGCGATAAACCCACACGACCACGGGGAGAGAAACGCGCAAACTACAAATATAGAGCAGGCGTCGTCAGGGTAGGGATCGAGCCCACGACCTCCTGTATACCAGGCGAGGTAGTTAACATCTCCAAGCCACCGCGTCACCGATGGTGTGGGTTGTTGTATTTTGAGACCAACGGTGTTGTTGACGAGTGTGTTTTTTTGCTGCTGCTGCCAATACAGCAGCAGCAGCGCCACCAACTAATTTGTTTGAACCAGGCCAGGGGCTCTTGTTCCGTGGCTCTCGCGTTATTCCAGGGACGGAAGGGACCTCGGGGATGGTCCCGAAGTGCCACCCCCCGCCCCCGCCCGCTAATGAGCCGCACCAGGGCGCCTGCGCGAGACGGGCGCGATTCAAGTTCCACCGCCTCGCGGCGCCAACATCGCTCCGGATGACGGTGACATAGGAGACGCTCCACCCTGAACAACGACGGGAGGGGTGACATTGGGCGGTTTTTGCGGCCCAGCGGTGGCGCGTTCGCCCTTCGTGATAAAAGCTTCGCGGTTCGACTTCGAGCTGCCGTCCTGGTTATCACTGCGGGTGTCTTCACAGTAACAAAAAAACTACTACGCGTCATCTGCTTCACGGTGTTACGTCAGAGATCCCTGGCGGTCATTCGTAAGAGTTGGCCATTACGTACCGGCGTCAGGGCCCAATTTCGCAAAATTAGAAAATGACTCTGATTATACTTGGCATTACACACTGGAGCAATCATCGCGCCCCTACTGTTGGAAGGCTATTGCCCGTTTTGCAGGCCTGGCGCCGAGTTACCTTGTGGCCACAGGGACAGCTGCCACTTGGGGTGCCCTTTTTAACGCGTTGAGATGAGATTTAAAGCGCTCTGAAACGCCCCCAGTAGACAGGAAGCGTTATAACAAAAACAAATCGTCACTGTTATTATTATTATTATTTGCGTGGCCCACGATGTGACTCAGTGGAGGCCCGTGAATATTTGCACGACATACCCCGTGGTGTGGGCCATGGGTGACTTGTTCCTTGAGACTGATCGTGAGATGACCAGTGAGATAGCATGGGAAGTAGCACAGAGGTGCCCGTGCTGCGATGGCCCATTAAGTGGCCCATCGATAAGATGGCTTCTAAGATGGTCCGTGAGATGATTTCGTGATATGCTATGGAAGGGGACCCCGTGGCACATGACCCCGTGATACGGTCCATTTTCAAAACCAGTGAGAATGTCCCTGGGATTGTATGGGCTCATTATATGGCCTGTGTTACTTCTTCTTCCGGTGTATACGGCTAGATGATGTGTGAGAATCTAAACTTGAATATCGATGGTGTGTGAGGTGGCCCATGAGAGAGTCCCGTGGGAGTAATCTTTAAGATGCCCCAGGGAGCGTCCGCGACCATGAGATGGGGCACTGCGGCCGCGCGTTCGTATTGATCCTCGGAGCTGACTGCCGCGGTCGAATTTAATGTTCGCGACTTACCCGAGCCCGCCGCCTTCACTCCTCGTTGCCTGGCTTCTCGCACGGAGGAGCACGGAGGAGCACGGATGAGCACGGAGGAGCACGGATGAGCACGGAGGAACACGGAGGAGCACGGGTCCTCGCGTCAGATCTCCTCCTACTGCTCGTCCTCCCGAGAGCGCGATCTCATCGACGGGGTCGCCCACCACCCAGTTCCGCTGCTGGCTGGGAAGCAGCAGCAGCAGCAACAGCAGCTTCACTTATTGGGGGGGGGGGGGCGGTCGGGAGTCGGACGGGGGAGCCGTGATTCGATAAAAACGCACTCCGCTTAATAACTTCGCAAGGACATCATTATTGCGCCAAAAATTCAATTATTACTGTTAATTGCAAAACATGTGAATAGTGTTTCCATCAGGGCGCACCGCGTGACTTCGTTCAGCTCCAGGCGAGAGCCGTCACCCCTCTCACCACCCGCCCCTCCCGCCCCCCAAGACTTCCCGTCATTCCCGGCACCGCCCCCCTCTGCCCCACTCTTCCCACCGCCTGACATCCCCCCCCCGCCGCCCCGGCTTCCTTCGGCACCCTCAATCTTCCCTGCGCTCCCCTCCCTCGTGGTAGAGGCAGCTCGCACGCAGCAGCAGCAGCAGCGAGCGCCCGACGCGGAACTCGGAGGCGCCGATCGGGGCACAGCGACCGCGCGGGGATCGTTCTTTGCTTCGCTCGTGCCGTGCCGTGCGTCATTCCTCTCGTCGGCATCTCACCGCGATGCGGCGCCTCCCCACCCGTGAGCGGCGCGGTACGGTGCGACCGCATTCAGCAGCATAAGTTTCACCGGGCCCCGTGCTGCCCGAGAGACGGGGTGCGGGGGGCGCGGGCGGGCGCCCCGAGCGGCGGCGGCGGCTGCGTCAGGGAGCGCTGGGCTCGCGCGCCGCGGCTCTCCTCGGCGAGGCGATGTCCGCCTTCCGTAGGAAGCCGCAGGGGGACGAGTACTGCGTGGTGGCCAGCGTGGTGGGCGGCACGGCGGCCGCGTCGGGGCACGGCTTTCGCCTGGGCACCAACAAGAAGCGGCAGCGCTTCGTGCAGAAGAACGGCCGCTGCAACGTGCAGCACGGGAACGTGAACCGCGAGGCGTTCCGCTACCTGTCCGACATCTTCACCACCCTGGTGGACCTCAAGTGGCGCTGGAACCTGTTCATCTTCATCCTCACCTACACCGTGGCGTGGCTGGTCATGGCAGCGTTGTGGTGGGGCATCGCATACGTGCGCGGCGACCTGGACCTGGGCCACGAGCAGGGCTACGTGCCGTGCGTGGCCAACGTGCACAGCTTCCCGTCGGCATTCCTCTTCTTCATCGAGACGGAGGCGACCATCGGCTACGGCTTCCGCTACATCACGGAGAAGTGCCCCGAGGGCATCGTCCTCTTCCTCTTCCAGTCGCTGCTCGGCTCCATCGTGGACGCCTTCCTCGTGGGCTGCATGTTCATGAAGATGTCGCAGCCCAAGAAGCGCGCCGAGACGCTCATGTTCAGCGAGACGGCGGTCGTGTCGATGCGCGACGGGCAGCTGTGCCTCATGTTCCGCGTGGGCAACCTGCGCACGAGTCACATGGTGTCGGCGCAGATCCGCTGCAAACTCCTCAAGGTGAGACGGACGCGAGCGAGGTGTGTGGGGGGTGGGAGGGGTGCTCGGGAGACCGGATCAGGGTGGGGCGGCGGGGGGGGGAAACGAGCCAATCTGTGTTAGAGCCGAGAGACAAATGCTTGCGCTTTCACGCGGTGTGGGTAATCGGGTCATCGTGCTCATCGCTTCGTGCAGCTTCGCGCGGCGTGTCTACCCACCTGCCCACCCGCCTAACGCCTCCTGTAGTCTGCGTCCACAGAGCGAGCGAAGGTCAAGAGGTCACCGACGCAACGCCGATGTTGATGCCAGCGCGCCTCGCCATCACGCACGCTTCGTTAAAGTTGACACCGACCACAGAGGGCTGCTCGAATATAACGGCCTCCTTAACCGCCATCGAGCCTTACCTTTGCACATTGCCACAAAGTCCACGCGTCCTTCGATGACCACTCACAATGTCGCGATCGCCATCTGGCTCGAGCGCTTCCCCTCGTTTGCCGACCTTTGGGTGCCACTCCAAAGGCTGTCGCGACCACCTGCCCTCCTCCACCCTGCACCCCGCGCGTCTCACGCCGCGCCTCTCACGCCACGCGTCTCACGCCACGCGTCTCCTCGCCCACTTGCAAGTTCCTCTCCCTGATTAACCGCCACAGCAGCTCCGGTCACGTTGCATTGCGAGCTCCCCAGTTGCCTACGTAGCATTTCGGCAAACGAACTGGCTGCGAACAAAACTCGTTCAACTCGGACACGGCGAGACGTTGGGTGCGCGCTTAGTGACGGAGGCCCGGTAGCGAGCCAGCACGGTAGGCGAGTCGGCTCGCGAGAAGGGTTTTCAGCGACGTCAGTGCTCTTCTTACAAGTTAACATAGAGCCACGCTCGTTACATTGTTATCCGTCGCATTCCCTCCATCCCCCCTCCGTCATGTACTGCCGTGTACTGTCAATGTACTCTCGTGTACTGTTATTACATTTTAATGCAGAGTTGCATTCGGCTGTGAAATGAGCGCGGAAGCGTTGTTCCACAGTGGCTCGTGCCCAGCACGTTCTGGCCGCCCCTCCCATTCATTCTCGAGCGGTCAAAGAGAATCGAGTATGGTGATTATAATCACGGTGATGATGGTGATGATGATCGTCGTCATCATGATATGGTGTCACGCTGCCTACTCTTCACGAGGAATAGTAATGGGTATTCTGAGCGTGCCGCGGGGAATTCGGACCCGTGGATATCTCTCATCGCCGCGTACCGATCTCACGGATCAAGCCACGCGAATCCGGCGGGGGCATTGTGAGAGCAGCTGGTGAACAACGCCGCTCGGCATCCGAGGCGTTTAATGCGGCGATGAATGGGCCCAGTCCATCGCCGTAAAGAGGCCAATTTCGATTCAATTTTGAGACGACTCGCGCGGGACGGCGACCCGCGTCACGTGCGGCGGAGCGCGCCTTCACTCAGCGCGGCGCGTCCCCGGATCCCCAAATCAATCACGAGGAGGAGGAGGAAGAGGAGGAGGAGGAGAAGAGACGATGAGGAACGGCCGGAGGAGAAGGCGTCTCATGTCCGACGCCGCACTTGGGTGCGAAACACGGAATCGCTGCGCTTGAGGTCTGAGTGCGATCTTGCCTATCCGCGTGTGCACGCGCCTCCACGCGGTGTCCACGCGGTGTCCACGCGGTGTCCCACGTGTCTCCCACGTGTGCTATACGCGCGGTCTCTGTGCGTGCGGCGTCCGTGCGTGAGTTGCTCCTCGTGTGAACCCGTGCATGCTTGCGAGTATTTGCCATCTTTAGTAGGTGCTCGCTAACAGCGCTTGTCCCAACAAGTTTACTTGTGAATTTAATTATTCGTAGACGTGTACTTTTTTCATCCATTCGACTGCCAAGCCCCCCCCCCCCCCGCTACCCTTAACCCCGCTGGCAGAAAAAAAATATTAAAGGGTTCATCATCAATGCTTAAAAGTTTCGTGCCTGCAGGAATTCATATTCTTGGTTCTTTCAGTAAAGTCACGTAGATAGAAAATAAAATAAAATGTAAATAAAAAATGAATAAAAATTTAAAAATAAACGCAAAAACCACGACGTTTCGATCGCAACACATGCGGTCTTCATCAAGCGGAGAGGAAAAAAACGTCTTTATTTTGATTTTATTTTCTATCTACGTGATTTTACCGAAAGAACCAATAATATCATCAATGCTGTTTATAGGACTCATCGATTCCCCGCATCACCGCAAGTCGCGTGGCACCCTCCACGTGTCGCAACTTAAGTCTCTATATAATTGCCGCGCCGAATTATCGCCGCTTGCTGAGACATCGCACCTCGCTTGAAGGGGGTGCGCGTGGGTGCACCCCTCGCTCGTGGCGCCCCGCTCGCCCCTCTCGCCCCGTTAATCCTCGGCGCCCTAAAGGCCGGCGCCGAAAGGCGAAATGATTCAAAATTCACAATCAGCCGAAGCGAGCGAGGCTCTGGCGTCCGTGCAGACCCACCTAGTCGCCCTCGAGTCCACTGATTTCCCCCGAGGACAGCCGCTGGCTGGTGGCGCACATCGAGAGCCCTCGGTAATCACAGCAGCACGGCTCGCCCCGTGCCTCCCGCCGTCCGCCTTCCCGCACGCCGGCAGGCATCGCAATCAGCCTCCCTGCACAAGCAGCCCGCCCTCTCCATTGCCGCAGCGCCAACGCCTGCCCGGCCGTATCCGCGTCCCCGTCATAAGCGCGCGGCAGAATGGAGGCGATAATTGAGCGGAATGGGAGGATCGCTCGCGTGGCAGTGATGGATGAGCCTCGTTAGCGACTTCGATAGCCCGAAACCCCCGGGGGGCGGGGTGGGGGGGGGGGTTTGGGGGGGGGAGGCCCCGCACGCGACCACGTCCCGCGCGCAGCGGTTAATAGACTTGTGACTTGTGTACACGCGCGGTCACAGAGACAGAGAAAGGCGGACAATCGCACGCGCGCGCACACGCACGCGCGCAGCAGACGGGGTGGACTGCTGTCGCGGTGGAGAGAAGAACACGGCTATGGACCCGGCGACTTGAGTTCGATTCCCAGGCACGACTATCATCAGTGCCGAGTGGCGTGGGAGACTCGCTAAGTACGACGCCCCTGCCCCCTCGTCCTCTCTCAGCGTCTCCGTTTCTGTCCCTGGCGACCCCCCTCGCTCCCGATGTCCCCTATACACCCCCCCCCCGTCCCATCATCGCTTCGTCCTCTCTAATCCCTTTCTCCCCCCCCCACCCACCCACCCCGCAGTCCCGCCAGACGGCCGAGGGAGAGTTCCTGCCGCTCGATCAGCTGGACCTGGACGTGGGGTTCGGCACGGGCGCCGATCAGCTGTTCCTCGTGTCGCCGCTCACCATCTGCCACGTGGTCAACAGCAAGAGCCCCTTCTTCGAGCTGTCGAAGCGCGCCCTGCAGCAGACCGAGCAGTTCGAGATCGTGGTGATCCTGGAGGGCATCGTGGAGACCACGGGTACGGTGGGGAGCCCCGAGTCAAAGCAGAGCGCGAGTACATGTTTTGTCCTCGCGCCGTTCCTGTTATAGCGCGAAGGCGATCGCGAAGCAAGGCGCTGCTGTGCGTCGCAGAAGGGGTTTCACGGCAGCCGCTGTTGTTGTTGTTGTTTTTGTTGTTGTTGTTGTTGTTGCGAATATGGCTCGAGCCGACGAGCTCAACTTGTTCGTCTACAACAATGCGTGTGGCCTTCAATGGAAGCAAACAATAGGCGACGTTTCGAGCCATGGGCCTTTTCTTCATAGCACAGCAGTATCGCCAAATAACGTGTTTGTCCAATTAGGTAACCTTTCAATACAACTCTCAAAGGTTTGCATATTTGGGAGACGAGACGTGGCTCCTCGCCCTTAACGTTTTTTAAAATAAATAAAAAAACTCTCACGAGATCTTCAACGTCCACTGTGAAGCCGACAGTGCACGCGTGTGGGTAATAATACCCCCCGTGGTGCCCAGGGTGACCGCTGGGCTCGTACCGCGAACCTCTCTTGTCACTGCAGAGAAGTGAGAGGAGAGGGCAGTCACGCGGCCCGCACGACGTCTCCGGCTTCGACACGCGACGATTCATCAGTCATCGAAAGCATCTTCGGACGCACTAAACGGGCAGCGAAAGAGGCGCGTTTTGAAAGATTCGACAAGAAGCGCTTCATCTTCTTTGGTTCTTTCGGTAAAGTAACGTAGAATGAGAATAAAATAATAAATTGATAAAATAAAATAACACAATAATATTCTCACGACGTTTCGGCCACAACACAAGCGGCCTTCATCAGGTGAAGGGACGAGACTGTCTGGTAGGACAGCGCTGGAGAGCACTCCAGCGCTGTCCTACCAGACAGTGAGAATTTTATTGTGTTATTTTATTTTATCAATTTATTATTTTATTCTCATTCTACGTGACTTTACCGAAAGGACCAAAGAAGAAGCGCTTCGTTCTGATATCTGCGCCGCTGGGTCGGTGTCGAGATCAGCTTCTTGCCGAGGCGAGCTCGATTCGTCAGCCGCGCGACCGCTCGTCGCTGAGTCGTTTTTGCGCTGCCGCGCCGAGAGGTCGGCAGCTGCCCCCGCGGACCGACTGGCAAGGCGTGCGTCGGGCAGGAAGGCGGGGGGAGGGGGGCCGGGGGGATGAGACCGTCGTGGGTTCCGGGTCGATGTTGTGTAACGAGGCGACGAGGACTCCGAGAGACCAGGAAGAGTTTTCGTTTGCGAGAGCGACCACCCCGGGACATGCGTCCGAAGTGGGGAGATGTTAACTGCCTCGCCTGGTGTGCAGGAGATCGTGGATACGATTCCTGATCCCCGACGATGCCTGCTGTATATTTGCCATTATCAGTGGTTACGCAGCAGCGTCATCATCAGTGGTCACGCAGCAGCGTCATCATCATTGGTCACGCAGCAGCGTCATCATCAGTGGTCACGTGGCAGCGTCATCATCAGTGGTCACGCAGCAGCTTCATCTTCAGTGGTCACGCAGCAGCGTCATCATCAGTGGTCACGCAGCAACGTCATCATCAGTGATCACGCAGCAGCGTCATCATCAGTGGTCACGTGGCAGTGTCATCATCAGTGGTCACGCAGCAGCGTCATCATCAGTGGTCACGCAGCAGCCTCATCATTAGTTGTCACGTGGCAGCGACATCATCAGTGGTCACGCAGCTGCGTCATCATCAGTCGTGACGCAGCAGCGTCATCATCAGTGGTCACGTGGCAGCGTCATCATCAGTGGTCACGCAGCAGCGTCATCATCAGTGGTCACGCAGCAGCGTCATCATCAGTGGTCACGTGGCAGCGTCATCATCAGTGATCACGCAGCAGTGAGATCATCAGTGGTCACGCAGCAGCCTCATCATTAGTGGTCACGCAGCTGCGTCATCATCAGTGGTGACGCAGCAGCGTCATCATCAGTGGTCACGCAGCAGCGTCATCATCAGTGATCACGCGGCAGCGTCATCATCAGTGGTCACGCAGCTGCGTCATCATCAGTGGTGACGCAGCAGCGTCATCATTAGTGGTCACGTGGCAGCGTCATCATCAGTGGTCACGCAGCAGCGTCATCATCAGTGGTCACGCAGCAGCATCATCATCAGTGGTCACGTGGCAGCGTCATCATCAGTGGTCACGCAGCAGCGTCATCATCAGTGGTCACGCAGCAGCGTCATCATCAGTGGTCACGTGGCAGCGTCATCATCAGTGGTCACGTGGCAGCGTCATCATCAGTGATCACGTGGCAGCGTCATCATCAGTGGTCACGCAGCAGCGTCATCATCAGTGGTCACGCAGCAGCGTCATCATCAGTGGTCACGCTGCAGCGTCATCATCAGTGGTCACGTGGCAGCGTCATCATCAGTGGTTACGCAGCAGCGTCATCATCAATGGTCACGCAGCAGCGTCATCATCAGTGGTCACGCAGCAGCGTCATCATCAGTGGTCACGCAGCAGCGTCATCATCAGTGGTCACGTGGCAGCGTCATCATCAGTGATCACGTGGCAGCGTCATCATCAGTGGTCACGCAGCAGCGTCATCATCAGTGGTCACGCAGCAGCGTCATCATCAGTGGTCACGCTGCAGCGTCATCATCAGTGGTCACGTGGCAGCGTCATCATCAGTGGTCACGCAGCAGCGTCATCATCAGTGGTCACGCAGCTGCGGTTGCTTAATCACAGCGTCCCGCTCGTAGTAACAGCAGCGCCGATCTGCGCATTTTAATGAAGTGAAATGACGACAGCCGAGAGGCGGGGTGCAACATGTCACACGCACACACACACACAGATTATCAACAAAGATCCCCCACCCCCCTCTTATATTCTGAGCAGACTGTTGGAGCAGTTGCTGTTGGCGGGCACCTGCTAAGGCCGACACGGCACGCTCGGGCGCGGGGGGGGGGGGTGACTTGACGATGCTTTACCACGCGCATTAATGCGGCTTTGCTGAAGGCATCCACGTGGGGGAGGTGGGGGGGGCATAGACGTTACAGTACAATTAATGGAACGTTGTTGATTCACTGCTCTCCGCTGCCCGCCACGCAGCCCCGGGAGTTATAACAGCACAAGGAGAGACGTTTGTGGGAGCGGTGAAGCACGCGCGTTGTTCATCACCGGCAACCCCCGCATTGATCCGTGACACTAACTAAGATCGTGTAAGTCGCGAAGGTTCGTGTCGGGGCTGATTTGCGGGGCGCGGCAGCGCGCGCCTCTCATCCAGGATGGTGGAAGCGGGGGAAGTTACGGCTCCAGAAATTCCTAGAAACAGCACGGGTGTGGCGGGAGTTGGAGGGTTATGGGATCGCTTGACATGGAGGGAGGGATGTGACCTTGGGTAGAGAACACGAGAGAGAAAGAGAGACTGAGTGTGGGTTAGAAACACTTGCATTCCGTTTCAATTCGTCATGCGTAGGAGGCTCACCACGACCCCCCGACCTCCCGCGTGCGCAGGGATGACGTGCCAGGCGCGCACCTCGTACACGGAGGACGAGGTGCTCTGGGGACACCGCTTCCTGCCCGTGATGTCGCTCGAGGACGGCTTCTTCCGAGTCGACTACTCGCAGTTCCACGCCACCTTCGAGGTCCCCACGCCCGCCTCCAGCGTTCGCGAGCAGGAAGAACGCTCCGCCTCGTCCCTCGAGTCGGCGTTCGCCGCGTCCCGCGACCTCCGCTCCCCACTCTCCCCGCGCTCCCTCCCGGCCCTCTCCCCCGGCCGAAGGAATGAGTGCGCGGTCGACGCCGTCTCGGGGAGATCGTGGGGAGCCCCGCACCCCGCGGCCGCACGCTCCGGGCCCGAGGATCAACTACCCGCCAAGCTGCGTAAAATCGGCGGTGGCCCGGGCTCTCGGCCGCCCTCGTGCGCGGCGCGCAGCCGGGTCAACGGGGTCATGGGCAGCATGAGCGCGGGGGACCTGGCGCAGGCGAGGTCACCCGTGGCCGCCGCGGGACCCGCCGCGTGCTGGGGCGCGGGGTCGCTACCCGAGGACGTGTTCCCCCTGTCCCCGTGCCGGTCGCAATACGAGTCCCGTGGGCAGCAGCAGCAGCAGCAGCAGCCGCAGCAGCAGAGGTCGCAGCTGCTGCCCTCGGCAGCGGACACCCTGCCGGCCAAGCTGCGCAAGATGAACGGTTGCTGAGACGGCGCCCCCCGGCCCCGCGCGGGAGACTCGAGGTGCGGGGCGATCCCGGGCACGGACCGCCGACCGCGAATAGCCCGCGGACGGCGCGAGATCCGTCCGCGTGAATAGATCCGCGACGATTCGTGAACGGCCTAGGTGACTCTGCGCGTTCCTAGCAAACGATGGGAGGTGAGCGTCCATAGCGGGTTTTTTTTTTAAAATCGTGAGATTGTTGACGCGGGTAGCCATGGCGGGGATGGCGGTGGGAGGGCATTACGTTATTGAGAGGGGGGTGGGGGGAGCGATCAGCAAATGGCTCCTGCAATAAAAAGAGACAGCGGGGGGATAAGGATGGCGCTGCCCCCCCCCCCCCTCCTTCCACCATCCTGTATCGCCGGGAGGGAGAGCGTGAAGTAGGAGAGCCGAGAGCGCCGTGCAGGGTCTGCGTGCGGCCTGTATCATCATCGCGGGGGGGGGGGGGGGGGGGGGGGGGGGGGGGGGGGGGAGAGCCGGGGGCGCAGTTGTCCCTACACAGGCACAGAGGGAGCCCCACACACACCCCGCCGTCCAGGTGCTCAGGCCTCTTGCGGTGAGGACGGCTGCCCGCTGTGGCCAATTTCGTTGTATTCGCTACCATGCAGCAATCGATCCCCCATCGCCACAGGCGCCCGCAATTCAGTTCCGCTTCCTTTGTAAACGCGCGGTGCGATCCGAGTCGAGTGTCGTCTCCATTGAAAACCCCCCCAAGAAAAACACGGAAGTTTTGTCTTTTGTATTTGTTCTTTCATTTTATTTCGATCGTTCCGTCGGCGCCCTGACGCGGCGCGGAGCGTCTACTTCTGATCTCGCGCAGACCGGTGTGCATCATTCACAGAATGGCCCGCAGACCGACGCCTCCGGATCCTTCCTGGCCACCTCTCTTATCCACACGCATTACGTTGCTCTGCACCGTCGTCCCATGCCCCATGCACGGGAGAGGCCGCGGCGCCACCAGGCAAGGGCTGCGGGTCCGGTCACGCCGCGTGTCAGATCACGAGCCTCTCTCGCGCGTCGGGGTCATCTCTGTGCCACGTGGAGTGCGTTTCTCGCCGAGGATGTAGAAGGAGGAGGGAAGAGCAGGAGGTGGAGGAGGGGGAGGGATGAGGGCGGCAACAGTAATGCTTTAATTTCGGCCGGGTCTGTGAGGATCTGCGATTCTTTACCTGTATCCGCTCCCGGCACACCACGTCCGCTATACCTCCCGCTCAGAGTCCCGTGCCCTATTCAAGTCTGAACAGCGACTCTCAAAACCAACTGAACGAGAAACGAATCCCCGTGGCAGGAAGCAGCCACGCACCTTGCCGCGTCCCGTTCGAACAGCACCTCGTCCGCTCGCATCCAGCTCCGAGCGGCCGCAGCTTCTACCCCCCCTCCACCTCTCGCCCCAGCGCCTCTCTGTGTCTCTCTCTCTGTCGTGTCGCGTCAACCCCACGCTGTCGTCTCGCCTCGTGTTTACCTCCCCTCCCCGCTCCGCCCGTCAATTCGGCGAGGCTGCCGCGAACCCGCGGCACCGTTGCGCAGAGGACGGCGCCGTGGCCGTGATCGGCAGCTGCCTCCGCGGGTGCTGCGAGTTTTTGCAGAACGCGGCTGTTTGTCGAACCGATGTTTGTCGAACCGATGTTTGTCGAACCGATGTTTGTCGACATCGCGAAGCTCGTGCCGGCGTCTCCGCATTGTTCTTTGGGGGGGGGCGGGCGGGGGGGTGTTGGACTTTTTGTTTTTAAATTGATCACGAGTCCAAAGTTTCGCCTGTGGCTTGCCATCATCACCCGGGGGGGGGGGGGGGGGGGGGGGAGGGGGGTGGAGCAGTGATTGCGCACATTCTTGTTTTTTAAATACGAATAAAATCAAATGAATAGTTTTGCTAAGGGGGCGTCTGGCTATGGTTGATGTCTGAGCGGCGGCGGCGCCGCGTCTGGTCAGGTCACAAATCGATCGCTGCGCTCGAGACGATCAAACGAGACGGACGACACTCAAACTGTGGAAACGACACGAACGAGACACTGAAAATAAAAATAAACCGCGACCCCCAAATTGATGACAGCTGAATAGCCGAGAGGCTGAATCGTCCGTGGCCACCGGGAAATCCCCCGCACCCCCCCCCTCCCCTCCCCGTAAGCGTATCCTCTCCCCGCCCCTCCGCTCCCGTCCTTCACCTCGGAACACAACGCCTGCACGCGTCTGTCATCTGTAATCTCCCTGCCACGAGCGTGCGCCGAGACGCGGAGCTCCGCGCGGAACGCGTGGCCCGTCGCCTATGCCGCCGTCGCGGTCGGGATCCACGCGCTCGTCATCTCGGGCACGCGTGGGGGAGGTCGCGACGGAGGTTCTCTCCGCGTCTGCTGGCCCACGGTCATCTCGCGCAGGGCGGGCCACTGGGGGACGGGGTGCTGGTGGCCTTTAGTGTGGCCCCTGACGCTCGCGCGAGCTCCGACGGTACACAAATGGTGACAACGGCCCCTTGCAGGCGGTCCGGAGGCCCTCACACTGCTGATGTCTTATCGGCGAAAGTGCTCCCTCCCCCCCCTACCCCCCTCTGAAAACTGTGAAGAACATTGATCTGGAATATCGCCTCGTGCCGTAGCCCTGGAGTGTAAGAGTGATAATAACGCTGATACCCTTTCGTAAAGCCACTGTCCCATGAAGGAGTCCCCGTGCCGTGCCAATCGTGGAGGTCGTTTGACCATACAAGGTGCTTCAATGAAATGTTGACACTCACATGGGACTATCGTTTTTAATGAAGAAACGGATACTATCTTCTTTGGTTCTTTCGGTAATGTCACGTAGAATGAGACAGACAGTCTCGTCCCCTTCACCTGATGAAGGCCGCTTGTGTTGTGGCCGAAACGTCGTGAGAATATTATTGTGTTATTTTATCAATTTATTATTTTATTCTCATTCTACGTGACTTTACCGAAAGAACCAAAGAAGATGAATCCTTGCAGTCACGAAAGCTTTAAATCGAAACGGATACTACTACACTGTAACATGATAACAAGCTTTCGTGACTGCAGGGATTCAAATTCTTGGTTTCTTTCGGTAAAGTCACCTTACCGAAAGAACCAAGAATAACAAGCGTAATGTTAACAGCTTCAAAAGGTTAAAGATTATCCCGCTCCTTCGCCATCATTGTCGACAACATGCCTTGGAATCGTCTCCAGGTGGTGCTAGGTCGCGTGTGTTGTGGGGCAATGCGTCTGGTAAGCGTGGAACACTTGGCCAATATACCATCCAGAGGGTTTGCCCCAGACCTCCCCCCGATAGCGGAGGTCCTTTCGCCAGCAGTGTCGTGAGCAGGGCAATTGCAGGACTGCGCCTTCACCTGTTGCAAGGCAGAGCCAATGACGAATGCGGTGAGAGCGAGAGCGCGAGGTTGCTAGTTCGCGTCATCTATCTGGCCGTGACTCTCCGTGCATGCGTGGCGAGTGGGCGTTCGTCGTCATCACAGTTGGCTTCACTCCCCCCACCCACCCCACCCCCAGAGTCGTTAATTTATCAACAGAGAGAGAGGGGGGGAAGGGGGCGGGGACCTCGGCGCGAGGGGTTCGCGCGCGCGGGGCGCGCGTGCGTGCGCGCGCTCCCGCGTGAGATTCCCCCCCCCACCCAGACGGATTAGAGATTGAGATTGAAGTCAAAAGTTGCCTTTGATGAGGTCGCGCCGTGCCTTGAAAAATAACGACGAGCGGAGTGAGGGAGTTAGAGGGAGTAGAGGAGGCTGGCCGTGCGGGCGGGCGGGCGACACGAGGGTTGAACGAACAAGCGAGGGCTGCGTGCGTGGCTCCGTTGACGATCGCGGCTGTCGAGGTGGCGCCGGTTGTTCGTCTACGAGCTGAACCCCAAATGTCGAGGACTGCCGCCGGTGTCGACAAGAGGGCGTCAGGAGTTGTAGAGGTCGTGGAGATTTTTGTTGTTGAAGGAGGAGCGGACCACGTTGGCCTAACCTGGTCGCTCCGTATTCGGGGTCGCATGGGCGCACAATCGGTGGAGCTCAATGCGGCTTCCATAGACCGTCGGACAAAAGTTCGGGTTGCGCTGGTGCCACCATGGGGGATAGGCTCAATCTATCCTCGTATAGTCGAGCCACGAGCGAGCCGAACAAAAGCGCTCTTATCTCGCGGCTGCACACGACTCTTAACAATCCACAGCCGCCGAGCTCCAACTCGCTGCGTCGTCGATGTGACAGAATGACGTTGAAGTGACTTCCAATGAGCGCTCTCGTGTCGTAGCCGTAAGTGGCGTGTTGGGGAACACAAGGAGGAGCGACTTCACTCAATGATGTTGACGTTCGTATTCTCCGCGAACGAATGTTAAGGCTCGTGTTGGACAGGGCCGCTATTTGTCTCCTTACCGCGTGGTTGATGCCCGTTTTAATGCGCCGCTTCCGTGGTGGCTGCGCTGCCTCAAATGTTTGGACTCGGCAAGATCGAATACGCAGAGAGGCACGCGCGCAACCTGGCACCGCCTCCTCCTCCCATCTACGATCTGTGATGGACCCATTAATATACAGCAGGAAGGACAGAGCCAGTTACACACCAGACAGAGTCAGTCACACGCCAGACAGAGACAGTCACACGCCAGACAGAGTCAGTCACACGCCAGACAGAGACAGTCACACGCCAGACAGAGTCAGTCACACGCCAGACAGAGACAGTCACACGCCAGACAGTCAGTCACACACCAGACAGACAGAGTCAGTCACACGCTAAACTGAGTCAGTCACACTCCGGACAGAGACAGTCACACGCCAGACAGAGTCAGTCACACGCCAGACAGAGTCAGTTACACACCAGACAGAGTCAGTCACACGCCAGACAGAGACAGTCACACGCCAGACAGAGTCAGTCACACGCCAGACAGAGAGAGTCACACGCCAGAGAGAGACAGTCACACACCAGACAGAGTCAGTCACACACCAGACAGAGTCAGTTACACACCAGACAGAGTCAGTCACACACCAGACAGAGAGAGTCACACGCCAGACAGAGACAGTCACACACCAGACAGAGTCAGTCACACACCATACAGAGTCAGTCACACGCCAGACAGACAGTCAGTCACACGCCAGACAGAGTCAGTCACACGCCAGACAGAGACAGTCACACACCAGACAGAGTCAGTCACACGCCAGACAGAGACAGTCACACGCCAGACAGAGACATTCACACGCCAGACAGAGTCAGTCACACGCCAGACAGAGACAGTCACACGCCAGACAGAGACAGTCACACACCAGACAGAGTCAGTCACACGCCAGACAGAGACAGTCACACGCCAGACAGAGTCAGTCACACGCCAGACAGAGACAGTCATACGCCAGACAGAGTCAGTCACACGTCAGACAGAGTCAGTCACACGCTAGACAGAGTCAGTCACACGCCAGACAGAGAGAGGCACACGCCAGACAGAGTCAGTCACACGCCAGACAGAGACAGTCACACGCCAGACAGAGACAGTCACACACCAGACAGAGTCAGTCGCACACCAGACAGAGTCAGTCACACGCCAGAGTCAGTCACACGCCAGACAGAGAGAGTCACACACCAGACAGAGTCAGTCACACGCCAGACAGAGTCAGTCACACGCTAGACAGAGTCAGTCACACGCCAGACAGAGTCAGTCACACACCAGACAGAGTCAGTCACACACCAGACAGAGTCAGTCACACGCCAGACAGAGTCAGTCACACACCAGACAGAGTCAGTCACATACCAGACAGAGTCAGTCACACGCTAGACAGAGTCAGTCACACGCCAGACAAAGTCAGTCACACACCAGACAGAGTCAGTCACACGCCAGACAGAGACAGTCACACACCAGACAGAGTCAGTCACACACCAGACAGAGTCAGTCACACGCTAGACAGAGTCAGTCACACACCAGACAGAGACAGTCACACGCCAGACAGAGTCAGTCACACGCCAGACAGTCAGTCACACACCAGAGACAGTCACACGCCAGACAGTCAGTCACACGCTAGACAGAGTCAGTCACACGCCAGACAGAGTCAGTCACACGCCAGACAGACAGTCAGTCACACGCCAGACAGAGTCAGTCACACACCAGACAGAGTCAGTCACACGCCAGACAGAGTCAGTCACACACCAGACAGAGTCAGTCACACACCAGACAGAGTCAGTCACACGCTAGACAGAGTCAGTCACACGCTAGACAGAGTCAGTCACGCGCCAGACAGAGTCAGTCACACGCCAGACAGAGACAGTCACACGCTAGACAGAGTCAGTCACACACCAGACAGAGTCAGTCACACGCCAGACGGTCTCTGGTGTTGTTCATTGACCGCAGCAAGTCGCGTCCGGGCAGCTGCGCCTTCACGGCAACCGTGTGGCTGAGGTCAAAGATGTAAGACCGGCACAGGAGGAGGATCTCTCCACATTCCTGGCTGTCGCCTGACGAGGCTGGTTGTTGTTGCTGAATTACCGGCGAAACGCGACGGTACTCGAATTGTAAATGTTGTCGCGGGTTTACTCTCCAAACCAACCGGTGTGCTGAACTCGTGATTAATTGGAACGTTTTGTTCAAGCGACAAGCCTTACTAATTGGTTCGTGTTCAGATGGTGGCGGCTTTAATGACGCACTTATATTTTACGCGATCAAACCCGAGAAACCTCTATTATGGTCGGTGATTCGTTCGCCGTCTGTGAGCAAACTCGCGGCGCTGTTTTAATCTCTCCCCTC